TCTCAACCACTGCGCCAGCAGGGAAGCCCCATTGATCTTTTCTATTGTTTTCTTTGTCTCTGTTTCATTTATTCCTGCTCTCATCTTTATGATTTCTTTCCTTCTACTAACTTTGGGTTTTGTTTGTTCTTCTTTCTCTTGTTGCTTTAGGTGTAAGTTTAGGTTGTTTATTTTTCTTGTTTCCTGAGGTTACATTGTATGGCTATAACTTCCTTGGCATTCCTTGGCTTGTAACTGTATCACTCCAGCCTTTGCCTTTGGCATCACGTGGCTTCTCCCTGTTTGTCTCTGTGTACCTGTGTCTTCGTGTGGCCTTCTTATAGGGACAGCAGTCATTGGATGTATGGCCCACTCTAATCCAGTGGGACCTCATCATAACTTGATTGCATCTGCAAAGACCCTATTTCCAAATAAAGTTACATTTACGGACAGCAGGAGTTAGGACTTCAACATATCATTTTTGGAGGACAATAATTCACCCCACAACAAGGGCTCATCCACTTGTAGCATGTATCAGAATTTCATTCCTTTTTATGGCTAATAATATCACATTGTGTGACTATCACATTTATTTGTTTGTTCATCAGTTGATGGACATTTAGGTTGTTTCCACTTTTTGCCTATTATGAACAATGCTGCTGTGAACATTAATGTACAAGTTGTTGTGTGGACATGTTTTCACTTCTCTTGGGTTTTACCTAGGAGTTGGACTGAGATCATAGGGTAACTCTGTTTCACCACTTGAAGAACTGCCAGCCTGTTTTTCAAAGTGGCTGCACTATTCTGCAGTCCCATCAACAGTGTATAAGCAATGTATTTCTCCACATCCTAGCCAACACTTGTTATTATTCGTCTTTTAAATTATATTCATCCCAGTGGGATCTCAGGTGGTACCTCATCGTTTGCATCATCCTGATGGTTAATGGTGTTGAACTTTTCATGTGCTTATTATAAATTTATAAATTTTTTTTAGAGCAATGTCTTTTCCCATCTTTTGTCCATTTTCTAATTGGGTTGTCTTTTTATTAAGGCAAAGAGTTCTTTATATATTCTAGTATAAGTCCCTTGTCAGTTATATGATTTATAAAAAGTTTCTTTATTCTGTGTGTTGTCTTTTCACTTTCTTGATGGTGTCATTTGAAGCACAAAGTTATAAATTTTGATCATGTCTACTTTAATATTTTCTTTTGTTGCTTGTGCTTTTGGTTTCATATCTAAGATACTCTTGCTCAATCCAAGGTCACAAAGATTATGCCTATATTTTCTTTTAGTAGTTGTATAGTTTTAGTTCCTACATTTGGGTCTTTGATCTGTTTTGAATCAATTTTTGTATATAGTGAGAATTAGGGATCACATTTCTTTCTTTTGCACGTGGATATCCAGTTGTCCCAGCACCATTTGTTCAGACAGATAATCTTTTCTCCCACTGAATTGTCTCAGCACCCTAGTCAAAGATTAACTGACCACAGATGTGTGGATTTATTTCTGGACTCTTAATTCCATTCCATTGAATTATATATCTATCCTTAGGCCAATACCACACTGTCTTGATAACTGTTTAGGTTTGTGGTAGATTTTTTTTTTCTTTTTTGCAGTACGCGGGCCTCTCACTGTTGTGGCCTCCCCCGTTGCAGAGCACAGGCTCCGGCCACGCAGGCCCAGTGGCCATGGCTCACGGGCCTAGCCGCTCCGCAGCATGTGGGATGCTCCCGGACCGGGGCATGAACCCGTGTCCCCTGCATCGGCAGGTGGACTCTCAACCACTGTGCCACCAGGGAAGCCCCTGGGTTTGTGGTAGTTTTGAAATCAGGAAGTATATATCTTCCAACTTTGTTCTTTTTCAAGATTGTTTTGGCTATTCTGTGTCCCTTGACTGTACATATGAATTTTAGGGATAATCTTTTCAATTTCTGAAAAGAAGTCAGCTGGGATTTTGATTGGATTGCACTGAACCTATAGATCAATTTGGGGAGGGTTGCTATCTGAACAATATTAAGTCTTTCAGTTCATGAACATGGGATATCTTTTCATTTATTCGGGTCTTCTTTATTTTCAACGTTTTATAGTTTTCAGAGTATAAATATTTAGTGTTTTTTGTTGTTGTTAAATTTATTCCTAACTATTTTATTCTTTTTGATGCTATTATAAATGGGCTTGTTTCCTTAATTTCCTTTTTGGTTTGCTCATTGCTACTATACAGAAATACAGTTGATTTTTGTATATTGATGTTGTCTCCTGTACTCATTTATTAGTTCTAATACTTTATTTTATTAGACTCCTTAGGTGATATGACCTTGTATATAGAATATCCGATCTTTTGTTGTTGTTTTCTTGCCTAACTGCCCTGGCTAGAATCTTGAGTACCATGTTAAATAGAAGTGGTGAGAGCAGACGTTCTTGTCTTGTTACTGATTTTAGGAGAAAACCATCCAGTTTTTACTATTAAGTATGTTAGCTGTGGGGTTTTCGTACATAATCTTTATCAAGTTGAGGAGATTTCCTTCTAGTCCTAGCTTATTGCTTTTATCATGAAAAGGTGTTGGATTTAAATACTTTTTCCTGTATCGAGATGATCATGTGGGTGTTTTCCTTTGTTCTATTAATATATTACATTGATTTTTCTATGTTGAACTAACTTTGTGTTCCTGGGATAAATCCCACTTGGTCATGGTATATATCCTCTTTATATGTTGCTAGACTCAGTTTACTAGTTATTTTGCTGAGGATTTATTTGTTTAAATGCACAGGGATATTGGTCTATAGTTTACTTGATGTCTTTGGTTTTATCAGGGTAACCTTGGCCTCATAGAATGAGTTGAGAAGTGTTCCCTCCTCTATTTTCGGAAGAACTGTGAAGAACTGGTGTTAATTCTCCTCTAAATGCTTGGTAGATTTCACTAATGAAGCTATCCCATCTTGAAATTTTCTTTGTGGGAATTTAAAAAATTTTTTGATTACTAAATTTACTTTAATTAAATGTCTATTCAGATTTTCCATTTCTTCTTGAGTCAGTTTCAGTAGTTTGTATCTTTTTAGGAACTTGTCCATTTCATCTGAGTTACCTAATTGTTGGCATGTAGTTCATAATATTCATTTATTTTTTTCTTTTTCATAGATGTAAATATCTGAAGTTAAAACTTTCCCTCTGAGCACTGCTTTAGTTGTATCCCACAAGTTGTGAGATATATATAGATACAGACATAGATATAGATATATATCTGTATATAATCTTTGCTTTATAGTAATTTTGAAATTTCAGTTTGTATTTCTTCTTTACCCAATTGTTAAGAGTTTTTCAAAACTTTTTGGTAGAAAGGCCGTGTTTTCTGATTTTGTTATTTTTTTTTAAGGAAACTTTATTTTTATTTATTCATTTTTGGCTGCATTGGGTCTTCGTTGCTGTGTGGGCTTTCTTGAGTTGCAGCAAGTGGGGGTGTGTCTTCACCCCCCTTTTTTTATTTGCAGCGAGTGGGGGTGTGTCTTCATTACGGTGTGTAGGCTTCTCATTATGGTGGCTTCTCTTGTTGCGGAGCATGGGCTCTAGGCACACAGGCTTCACTAGTTATGGCACGAGGGCACAGTAGTTGTGGCTCACAGGCTCTAGAGCACAGGCTCAGTAGTTGTGGTGCACAGGCTTAGCTGTTCCGCGGCATGTGGGATCTTCCCAGACCAGGGCTCAGACACGTGTCCCCTGCATTGGCAGGTGCATTCTTTTTTTTTTTTTTTTGGCAGGTGCATTCTTAACCACTGTGCCACCAGGGAAGCCCTGTTACTAATTTTTAAGTTTGCCATGTGTTGAGAGAATGTATGATTTCAGAGAAAGTAAATTTTCTTTTTTTTATATTTGAGGGTTTTGGTCATGAATATTCCATTGGCTTCTAAAAATCTTGTTTATCTTCTTTGTGGTCTGTGTTTTCCTTGCTTTGGGGGTGTATATGTGTCTTCTTTCTGGTAATTTGGAAGCCTTTTTTTTTTTCCTTTCTTTTCTTTTCATCATTACTTTTGTATATTTAAATAGTCTTTATTTCTTGATTTAGCAGTTTTCTTTTCACCCTGGCTGTAAAACATGAGGAAATCAGTGTATTTCCACCTTCTCTCATTTTTTCTCATTACCTTTTGTTACAGTATTTCTATACTATTTACAGTGTTTGTATTCAGAGTTCTAGTTCTCGTGCTAGATCAAATGGACTCTGCTCATTTGCAGTTCTTTGGTGTACATTCTTTTTTCTGCCCTAGTAATTCTTCTTCTTGTAATTTCTTCAAGAAAGACTCAAGGGCACTATATTCTCTAGGTTCTCTGAGTTCATATTTGAAAATGTTTATTGCCACTTAAATGAAAGAATATCTGTAATTAAATACCTAGAAGCAGGATTGCTAGGTGTCAAAGGATATATGTATTTTTAATTTAAAATATGTGATGAATATTTTCAAAATACACCTATTTACACTCTCAAATAACAATATATAAGTGCCTACTTACCCACATTTCTGCTTAACAGTGTTTACTAAGGGTTTTTTCGTTCTATCTTTGTGAATCTCATAGGCATAAAATAGTATTTCATTTTAGTTTTAATTTGCAATTCTCTTGTGTCTGAGATGGAGTGCCTTTTCAGATATTTAAGAGCCCTTTGGCTTTTTGCTCTGCCTGCCAGTGTACTGGGTCCATTTCTGTTAGGTTGTTCTTTTGTTTTTGGTGGCCTTTCCTTATATTAAGACAGTTATCCTTTTGCCATTTGAGAGGCCAGTGGGTTTTTTTCCTAGTCGTTTTTATGATATGTTAATCTAGTTTTTATCAGTCTTTTCTTTCATGGCCTCTAGAGTTTGTGCCCTGTTTAGGAAGGCATTTCTGCACTATGAGATCATTAAATTTTTAAAAAAATTTTCTCATAGTATTATTAAATTCTCCCCGACCCTGTATATTTTTGAGCCACAAAGCATAATTTGTTTTGGCAAGATGTGTGAAATGGGTCTGATGTAACCTTTTCTTCAGACGGTGACCCTGTTGTCTCGCAATATTTATTGATTAATCCACACATATTTACTTTTGGAAGTCATCAGTATAGCACTGGGAACAGATGGGATCACACAGGAGTATATTATAGAGCGAGAAGAGGGCCTAGGCCCGAGTCTTGAAAGAATCCCAATAAATCAACTTACGTTTGGGGAAGATGAGCCAACAAAAGAAACTGGGAAGGAACACCCAGAGAGACAGAAAGCCAAGATCCCAGGGATTCAGGAAGCAAGTGAAAGGGAGATGCTCAGTAAGATGAGGACTGGGACCTGTTCACCACATCCAGGCACATGGATCTAGCAAAGGCTAGATTTGAGTGCATTCAGAGGGTATAAGAGGTGGGAGATGGCAAACGGTGACAATCATTTCAAGTTTATCTGTAAAGGACAAAAGAGCAAAGATGCCTGTAGAGGAAAGTTTTTAAAGGTGGGAGAAATTTTTGCATGCTTAAATGCTGATATGAAGAATCTAGTGAAGAAGGAGAGGTGGAGGCAATAAGTGAAGAAAGAGATCAGTAGTGAAAGGTTCTTGAGAAGGTGGCACAAAAATCTGCCTGAAGTAGGAGAGACCACTTGGATGCTGCAGCAGGAAGAAAGGACGTAAGGATGGAGACAGAATATCTTTGTTCACTTTTTTTTAAAAGTAACACTAGGTTAGGAACCGATGATAGAGGTAGGATAGTGGATGCCTGTTAGATCCAGCAGAGGTCAAGGGTCATGTCATTGAGAAGCTGCTTGTAGTAAAGGTGTGGTGGCTGTATTGCAAATCGAGAGGATCATCCCCATTTGGTTCCAAATTAGGACCTTTGGCTCAGCTGCTGTACCTGGGGCTGGGGCCAAGGGTCAAGCTTTTCTCACAGCCCGTCACTTTTCTTCCCCATCCCACCTCCCACCTCCCAGTTGGGCTTTGTTTGCTGCCCACATTAAACAGAGCTCCAGCCATGGCCTCATTCCTGTTGCTGCAGTGGCGCAGAGGGCCCCCTCACTCACTGACCCCTGGTACCCCATCGTCTCAGGTCCCAGTTCATTCTGATTCCTGTTGGAACTCTCCTACAAGCAACCTTGAGCGTGTGGCTTGAAGGGCAAGGAAACTCTCCAGGGGGACTGGTTTCTATTGTGGTTGACTTCTCAAGGGCATCCAGCAGGGAACACCTTTTCACTTGAGCCTTTATGTTGAAAGCTGTTTGGTGCTGTTCAGAGGCAGAGGAGATAATTCTGCACTGGCTTTCTGGTGCTCTGCTCTCTCCCTGCCTCTGCTCTGGTCCTGAGCATCTTCTCTTCTGCAGGGGGACACAAACTTGCCTGATTCCAGAGACTCCTGGATAGGGGAGGTGTGGGGCCGCTCTGCAGTGAGGAACAGTCAGCTGAACCTGGCCGGCTCTGCCTGGAAAACCTCAGCCTGCAGTGAGTGGTGGGGCAGAGCTACCTACCTGGCGTGGGGACTTTGGGGCTGAGGTCTGCTAGATCCTAGGGAGCCACTGTCCCTCAGGAGGAGGGACATTATTATTGAAGGAGGCCGTTGCTGCCCTGAGGCCCTGATGCTCATGCCGTCTCAAGAGTCTCCACCTGTTCATTGTAGGCCGCAGAGCCTCCTTGGGCAGTTGCTGCTGTTCTCCGTCCAGCCTGTCCAGCCTGGGGACCTCCTTCTCCTCCTCCTACAAGGATTTAGCCAAGCACATCGTGGACATCTCTATGGCTGATGTGAGGTTTCCTGTAGCCGACTCTGCTGGGTGGGGAGGAAGAAAGAAGAGGGAAGGAACAGGGCAGATGAGGGCTTCTTCAGTAGCTCTCTATCTTTACAAAAGGGGGGAATTCAGTAAATGCTGGCCTGAGGGACTAATCCGAGAGTCTGCTTTGTACGAACTGTGCCCACTAATCTGGGTGGGGTCACTGTGTCCCCAGGTAATGGCTGCTTGCTCAGATAATCTGAACCACCTCTTCAGCTGCCAGGCAGCAGCTGGCTGGAAGTAAGTTCCCTTGCACAGTGTCTTCTCCCTGTGGCCCTGCTCGCCTTCTCTCCTTTCCCTTCTCCACCCCGGCTTCCTTGAGTCCCTCACAGTGAGCTCTTCCGGTGACTCTAGAACCCAGCTTTCATCCCCTCCTCCTCTTCCCCACCCTTGGTGTCTCCCCCAGCCATCAGGGCGAGGAGCAGGACGTGCATCTGTACTACAAGGTGTTTTCTTCTACTCGGCATGGCTTCCTGGGGGCTGGCGTGGTGTCCCAGCCACTGTCTCACGTGTGGGCAGCTGTGAGTGACCCCACCTTGTGGCCGCTGTACCACAAGCCCATCCAGACAGCGAGGCTGCATCAGCGGGTGACCAACAGCATCAGCCTGGGTGAGCCCAGGGGACAGAGGCAGCAGAGTCAGAGGCAGTGTTCTCAGGAGGCTGGGTACTCAGCTAGGTCCAGTGGGGTGTCAGGCTGTGGAATGATGGGGTGTCACAGGGTAGAACCCGGTCTGTCCATGTACCTTCTGACTTCCTGCATCCCTGCCCCTCCAGTGTATTTGGTGTGCAATACCACCCTGTGTGCACTGAAACAGCCACGGGATTTCTGTTGTGTCTGCGTGGAAGCCAAAGAGGTGCCTGCCTTGCTGGTGGTAAAGATGTTGTGGGAGGAACTTGGACTGGCGTGTTGTGAGAAGCAATCTTTGTGGGCATCAGGTCCTCTGGGGGAAGGAGGGCAAGTTGGGCCAGGGTGGGGGTGAAGGCTGGCCCAGTGTTGCCTTCCACGGTACTGACTGCACTGGAGCCTGTCCCTGTTTGTCCCTGTCCCTCCCATATCACGTAGGCTGAACTCACATTGCTCTGTTTCCAGGGGCAACTGTCTATCATGGCAGCTCAGTCTGTGTATGACGCGTCCATGCCGAGACCCAGCAGGGAGATGGTCCGAGGGGAGATCCTGCCCAGTGCCTGGATCCTGCAGCCCCTCACTGTGGAAGGGAAGGAGATCACCAGAGTCATCTACTTGGCCCAGGTGATCCACCTTGTGCAGCTGGCCTCACAGCATGCCTTGATTTGACCCCAGCCCCATGGGAGCTTTCTGTATAGCTGTTCAACATCCTTCAGTACCCAGGATCTGTGGCCTGAGAGCTGGAGACTCAAGGGTTTCTTGGGTCACGAATCAGTGGGAATCAGGAAGGAATGAGGCAGAGTTGATCAACCTTCTTCTGAAGCTGCTCTTACCAGAGCCTGGCGGCCTACATCCTCTGGCTGTTCCCAGGGTCCTCAGGAGATAGATGAGTCATTGTGAGGCAGAGCAGCACCCTCAGTTCCCTGACTTGACCTTTTGTCATTGGGAAGTGAAGCTTTTGCCTAGATCTGAACAGCAGAGCACAGGGCTTTAGACAGTTCAGTTCAGAGCCTCTCCAATCACAGCAGCCTGGGGTGGCTGCTTATGGCTGAAGTGTGCCCCGGTGCACTCTCCTGGGTCTGTCTGCACCTTTAACTCTTCCCTCTCTGGTTTATTTCAGGTAGAACTTGGTGCTCCAGGATTCCCCCCTCAGCTCCTAAGCTCCTTCATCAAACAGCAGCCGCTGGTTATAGCCAGACTGGCTTCCTTCCTTGGTAGTTAGCATCTCACGGTCAAGACAGTGCTCCAGGACACCCCAGAGATGCTGGGGCAGCTCTTGTTACTCTCTGTATCCTGATGTTAAGAAGAGCCGAGGCTACCTGCTGTGGCCAACTGGGCAGACAGCACTCATCCCTGAGTTGCCAGCGAAACCTAGTCAGTACTTGGTCACAGCTGGCACCTCTGCGGAGCGAGGGGGCCTGAGCTCCCGGCTGTCCAGAGTGAATGAAGCTCAACTCACCTTTTTGGATTTCTCACCTTTTTTGCCCGTCTCTGGGACCCTATGGCATACAGGCCACTCAAGGATCAGGACTGGACACAGCCAGCAGAGCTGGGAGCCTGCAGTGCTCTGACATGGTGCTTACTTAGTTCGGCGCAGCCCTGGGGCTGGTAGGGAAGCAGGAGCCATTGGCCAAGACTCTGCTCAGAATGTGCTCCAGCAGTCAGCTCCACTGTGGGATGGGGTGTTAGGAAACAGAAAACGGTTTAAAAAAACAGCTGCACAAACCAGAACACTGATTTAGAATTGTTTCTCCTCCCTGAATTTTTACAAAATGCTTTATTATTAATTTTTGCTTTGCTGCCCCTCTTCCTTTCCCTCACAGGAGAAGACAATTGTTTGGGTCTTGGCCCCAGTAAGGAGTATAGAGTAATGCTCTGTCATGGAGCCACCACTCCAGAGCTCAGAAGAATGGGAAGACCACTGTAGAAACTGGCTGGATAGATTTGGGGTTAGGGTGGGGGCCTAGCTCTTTGAGGAGGGCTTGGGGTGGTGCGTGGGCATCTCTCATTTCAGAGATGAAAAACTGTCTTTTGAAGACAAGAGGGAAGATAACGGACCTCCTGGAAGGAGGTAAGTGATTTGTTAGGAGGAAGCACAATTCCATTCCTTACCTCACTCAGAGATTTGGTCCCAGCCTTGAGCACTCCACGCACTGCTGTAGCCCCTTCTATTCTAGGATGGGATGGAGAATGGGTTCAGTTTTCTTGTAACTTAGCCTGGCTGAACTCGAGCTTTGAATATTCTGTATGGTTACCTGAAGTGTAGGGGTCGGAGAGATTCTCAGCTTCAGTTCTGGTGCCCAGAGTCTTTGGTGGAAGAGGGCGACCATATGGGGATTGAGAAGATGTGGTAAAAGGTAAATTTCTGTATAGTACAGAAGAGGTTTATTTTTCTAAAAGTATCTGCAGGATTTTGTTTTTCTCTTACCTCAGATTAAGTTATTTATATATTATTGAAGGTTTTTTTTGATTGCTTTTAAACTTATTTTTCTGGTTAATTTTTTTGGTTACACTTGATATATTTAACACCCTATTTATGTACTCTCATCTCTCTTCACATGACTCTCTAAGACCACTGATTGAAAAGTGCAGAACACTTGCAAATTAAAAGTCCAATGTGTACTTTTATTCAGTGAAGATTATCCTGGGACAGTCTAAGTGTGTCGTTTGGGCTCAGAATTCAGCCTGGTGATTGTGATGGCAGTAACTACTCATGGCCCAGTTTCAGGCTATATAGTTTACACATGTGTATTGAGTGTTTCCCATGAGCTCAGCACTGCTTTGCACATAAAGAGCAACCAGGTAAGTTGCCCAGCTACGGCCAGCTGTAGCCCAGACATGAACATGAGGGAGGATTCCAGAACAGATTCCACTGCCACACTCAACGGTGACCATAGACCCCTGGAAGGAAGCTCTTTAACAGGTATGCACCTCTAGGGCTTCTGAGGTAGAGCCAGCAATGGGAATCCGAACGGTGGTTAGCCTGGAGGTGACTGTATCCCCTAAGCTAGAGAAGCCACAAGCCAGGCATGTGAGTCAGCAAATCTAAAGAACATTAACTGAGGCTGATCTTTACAGTAAAATGCAGAGGTGGTAAGGATAATCCAGGGACCTGACTCCAAATGATCAAGAAGTCAGGTTTTGGTTACGACAGGTGGTTCTCACTTTATTGTGCTTCTGAATCACCTGAAGGACTTGTTACACCCCAGGCTGGCCCCCACCCTAGAGTTTCTGATTTAGAAGAGTGGAGAGGGGCCCACATATTTGTATTTCTAGGAAGTTGCAGGTGATGATGAGGCTGCTGGTCTGGGGACCACACTTTGAAAACCACTGATACTGGTAGAGAGCAGGTCTATGGAAAACAACGTAAATACTAATGAGTTCACTAGTTCGTTAGCTGCTTGTCTCTGTAATTCCTTTCTTATCTTACTGCCTGCCTAAAGTAAACCCTTAAGGTTCACACAGGCCAGCGTTGTTTCCTGAATTGGGCCTGTGCGGTTTAACTAAGTGGGCTTTAAACTCAGCATCCTTGGGGCTTCAGGCTTTCCTCCATGCTTGCCTGCCTGTCCCACCTCACATGGAGCTGGGTGTCTGAAGTAGCTGGGTGTCTGCTTACCTCGGGGCTCAGCTTCCTGGGGCAGTGCTTTCGTTCAGCCACACCTGATGGGTGCAGAAAGATAAAGTATTTCTTAAAACTGTTTTGGTTCCCAAGCATTCAGAACTTCCAGAATTTGCTATAGTATAAATTGGATTTAAAGGACAAATGAAGAGACGAAGAAAAAAAGGTTCAGATGCAAAAACTTATTGATTAGGATGAGCTGAGGGGAAGGGATGATCACTGCCTGACTGCGCAGAAGCATGATTACAAAGTGGTGAGACACACCCCCATTTTTAACTTTCTGTGCTGATGGGACCTACTGTAAGGGCTCCCAACTGGCTTTACTAAAGTCATACAGGAGACCTCTTTAGACCCAGAGCATCTTACCCTTCCGTGAATTGGAGACCTCTTTGACAGCTGGGAACTTTTCTCCTAAGAAATACACACATATGCACAGACAGATTTTGCAAGCCACTTCAAGAGGGTTCACTGAGTACCCTCGCCTTCCCCTGACAGAGACTGAATCTCTGCGCACACTGCCAAAGTAGAAAACCCATGAATTTTAGAAGAGTGCCTTATCAAGGTAGTGCTTGCTTAGTCAAAATTGGTGCATTTATAGACACGTAGAATGCTTTTGTTCTGAGCCAAATCAAACACCCCCAGCCCCCCAAGAAGCAAGCATCACAAGTGGGCAGTACCTGGTGAGTAGAAACTTCACTCATCATAAACCTTTAAAGGAGCTGAACGAAGTCAATACTGTTGGCAGTGGCTTAACAAGGGCCCCAGGCTCTCTGGCCTGCAGGGTCTCACATGATGGAATATTTAGGCATTGCTAAGTGGCCAACCAATGGGACAGCTCTACCCTGTCAATGCCCACCTCCAAGCCCACCTGAGACTTTGCAGCCTTCTACAGGGACGAGTAAGGTGAAAATAACTAGACATGAAGCCCTTGGTAAAGAAAACAGTTTATTTTAAAAACCTCTAATGTTCTGCCCGTGCTTGGCCCCTGGATGGAGCTAGAGTCAAGTTACTACCTGCACGGGACTGAAGGCAGGTGGGGTGCAAGGTAAAAGGCAGGTTTCTGTTGGGCGAGCCCCACATTTGTTGTACGTTTTTAAGGAGATGGCAGTCCAGCTCCTGGTGGTAAGAAAATGTAGACTCCCAAGATTCATGTTTAACTTTACTCACAAGTTAAGCAGAAGTCACTTCCCTCTGTCAGTCATGATTTCCCAAACCACAAAGCTCTAAGAGATGCTGGGACAGCAGCAAGTGGGGCTTGAATCTTGTGCCGACAAGCCCCCACACATCATTTCATAATAAATGCCAACTCTTCTTCTCCAGGACTGGAGTCTCTAGGTTCTTCCACCATAATCCTGAATCGGGTGACCCCCTCCTGCTTCCTTTAGGACTTGGGATGGTGAGCCCACAGTCACGGGGATGCCAGGCTGCCACTCTCTTCCTTTGCATGTGAGCAGGAAGCCTGATGACAGACTGAGCTACTTCCACACCAGCAAGGGTCAGGGTGGGCACTTGGGGTGGCTCTGGGGCCTCCTCCTGAGGCACAGTCAGGCTGGGTTCCAGCGTTCTGGCGAGATGCCCAAGGTAGGGCCGCTTCCCAGCCCTAGCTCTGGGCCAGCACAGTCCCCCGGTTTGGCTGCACCAGCTCACAAGCTCTTAGCTGAGGTTGTGGCACATGGGGTTCAGCTAGAAACAGGTTGAACAGTGTTGCTAATTCTTCAGAAAAATCCTGGAATAAGCAGAAAGATGACAGAAAAGGCAGACACACAGTTCTAGATTGTTCAATTCACCCTTTTTACTAAAAATCAATCCCAAATATCAAGCCCTAGCTAACCAGACAACCTGTTTTATTTTTTCCCAACTGCCTTCTACCTGGAAATGGACGTGGAAACCTTGTCCCATTAGTACTCTAGGATGCTCAAGTTCCAGCAGGGAGAGTGAACTCTAATGGGAGGCTCAAAAGCACTAATGAGTACTTAATATGCACATTATTTCATCTTGAAGAACCCCAGGAGGTCTAAATTATTCCCATTTTATGAATGAAGAAACTAAAATTACTTTGTCCCAAATCACAATAACATCAAGGACTAGCTGAGATTAAAATCCAGGTTATTCTGATTTTAAAAACCCACACTTGGGAATTCCCTGGTGGTCCAGTGGTTAGGACTCAGCGCTTTCACTGCTGGGGCCCAGGTTCCATCCCTGGTTGTGGAACTAAGATCCTACCAGCCATGTGGCATGGCCAAAAAAAACAAACAAACCCACAAACCGCACACTCACTATGCCATAAACAAACTATCTGCCTCTTCCATCTTCCCTTCCTCCGTGGACACAGTCCTTCATACAATAGATACTTAAATGTGAAAGAGGACCCCCCCCCCCCCAGAGCAGCCACTTCATTTCAGGGTGGTCCTCAAGAAATCTGACAAAATCCACTGAGCTTTGGGAAGATCCTAAGAATGCCAGGCCCCATCACTTGCCCCCTTTCAGGATAAAAGGGACATATGACACCTGTTCTCTCTCCAGGTAAAAGGAGACGAGGACTCCTTACCCTTGGCCACTGGGCCTCATGGAGGCTGCCTAGGCAGGCCTCTATCTCCATCCGTCCCATCAGACCTTTCTCTACCAGCTCCCGGAGCAAGAACAGCAGCAGGTCCCACTGCAACACACACAGAGGAAGAGGTCAGGGTGGCTAGGAGGACTGCACAGTGACCTTGATACAAAGGGCAGAGCTGCTGAGGGAGGAGGGGGAGACGAGCCGAGACTAAGGGAGTCTGAGCACGGAAGAAAAGATAAGCACAGCCTCAGCAAAGGGGGACTAAACCAGCTAATAACATTTGGGGTGGGGATGGTAGGAGTAACACGACTGCAGAGGCTTCTCAGAAGCCCATTTGCCCCCCTCCCCCCACCTCTCTGGCTCACCTCCCTCGGCCGAGTGGCTGCCAGAAGCCCCACGTTTCTTGGCCTCAGCAGCAGCTGCAGCGGAACCGGCACTTGAAAGTCCTCCTTCCACAGGGAAACCAGCATGAGCAGGAGCCTTCGAGCCTGCCCTCTCTCCAGCTGCTGCTGTGCCGGGGGCCCTAGGACAGGAATTTGATCTGCAACTATGGGGAGAGAGGAATGCCAAGCTCTAAGAAATGGAGGCAGGGTCACGTGGCCCTGGGAGGACACAGAGTAGAAAAAAGCTGTTTTCTAATCTTGCTTGTACCCCACCCTGAGAACTGGGGGATCCGGCAAGAGAGTGATGTGATAAAAAGGAGCCATACCAACGAGGGATGCTAACTCCACAGAGCACTTTGCCAGATGCTGCTCAGCAGGTGGGCACAGGAACTGGGGGAAAAACGGGGAGACCTTGGACATTAGCACCATCCTTAGAGCAGCAGCCCCAAGCCAATGCAGCTCTGATTATTACGCGCTGGACAAGGATACATAAGAAGAGCATCTCGTCGTGTCTCACCTGGCGACACCGCAGCATCTGGCCCAGCTGGCCTAGAAGCTGCTCCAGATGCTCTGGGGAAACTCCCTCCTCAGAGTCCCGGGGCCCCACGGCCAAAGAGAGCACATCCTGCAGAGAGGGGTGGAAGCAGAGTAAGGCTTCGTGCCAGGCCAGGGCCAAGGAGGCCACAGAGAATGTGGCTTGGGGTGGGGATCAGCCAGTGGAAAGAGGCAGAAGGAAAAGGAAGACAGGGCCCTGGGGTGAAGTAATGGGCAAAGGTGCCCTTAGACTTGGGGCTTGGGCAGGACAGCACAGCTGGGAGAAGCAACCAAGTGGACAACAAAGGAACAGATGGAGCAGGTAAGCCAAGGGACAACGCGCTGCCAGAGAGCTCAAGAGATGGCACTCATCTTGGGACAGTCATACCTAGCCAATTCCCAGACAGCATCTTATTCTGAAAGCATTCAGGGGAACTGTCCTGTCGTGTACATGTCGTACTATTTTCTGTCCCTCATGATTCTCTGTTCATCTTCTCAGGAGAGTCGAGGTTTCAGTACAGAAATCCTCTGCATGTTGAAAACCAGTAGCTAATGGCTGCTGAGAGTTTTCTTCTCCCTCTTACTCTTCTAATTTTAGTCTTTTTTTTTTTTCAGTACGCGGGCCTCTCACTGTTGTGGCCTCTCCCGCCGCGAAGCACAGGCTCCGGACGTGCAGGCTCAGCGGCCATGGCTCACGGGCCCAGCCGCTCCGCGGCATGTGGGATCTTCCCAGACTGGGGCACAAACCCGTGTTCCCTGCATCGGCAGGCGGACTCTCAACCACTGTGCCACCAGGGAAGCCCTTTAGTCATTCCTTTTTAGTCTCTATTCCAAATCTTTATTCTCACACTACTACCCCAGATCTGGGTCACTAGTTTAGGACTCTGCCCCAATCACTCAATTCTGCTGCTGGAGGACAAAAGCAGCCCAACAATTCGTAAATGAACAAGCATGGCTGTGTTCCAATAAAACTTTATTTACGAAAACAAGCAGCAGGCTGGATTTGGCCCACAGGTTGTCAGCTGAGTCCTGCTCTAGACAGTACCAAAAAATTTTTTTTCTCAAATTAAGAGCATTGATAGATTATTCTTATTGCCTGTAACTAAACAAGCATCACCTCCCACATAGGAGAACACTTCTGAAACCATATCCCAATACTGCGATGACTGTTCCTTAGAGACTTCCTACTGCACTGGACAGCCATTCCCTACCCCACTCCCATCATCATCTGTGTAACGTGTACTCAGTCAACAATTTTCACATCTACCCCTTTCCCTTTCACCTTTTTGGGTGATTCAAGTACAGAAGTCAGAGAACAGCAGTTACGAAAACCGTTCAATTCAGTTCTGCCCTACCTAATCCCACTCAGTAACAAAATGGGAACTAGCTGGACAACACAGAAAGCTGCCACACAAATATTAGAGTTGAGGGAGAGAGGAGGGAGACTAGGAAAAGAGCAGGGAGAGGGAGGAGGGGAGCCGAAGGGAGTAGGGAGCTGTGTACTTTTATCTCGGAGATGAGGTGGGAGGGGAGGGGAGCATGGTGCTCACAGGCACGGGAGCAGCCCCTCCGCTCCCCCCGGGCAGCTGGCTCAGGACCCTGGGCTCGAAGCATGCGACTCACAGCCGCTTTCACCTCCCTTCTGATCAGCGCTGCAAATCAGAGGGAGGACAGAAAAGGGGTCATCAAAGCAGCCCTGCACAGGCTCACCATGCCAACCCATGCCCTTCCCTGTTACCAGCTGGCTCTGAGTCCTATCTCCCCCACATGGCCTCCAACTTCCTGCCAGTCCACTTCTGAAAAACTTGGTCAGCCGCTCCCCCTCCCTGGACCTTACCTGTGACATTGGCTGACAACCAAGCACAGGCTTTCTCTGTTGCAAGCCCCACAGCAATGTTCTCTGCACTGCTCAGAACCTGTGACACAGAAGTTCTGAGTCAGGGGCAAGTTAGGACAATGACGAATGCCCAAGTCCAGGAGTGACCCACCTGCCACCAGAAGCCTCACACATACAACCCCGCAGCACTCCTCTCCCACCACCAACCGCCCAGCCCGCTAACCCCAGGACTCCTTCCTACGTACAGCTGCCGGGGTCTCCTCAGGGAGCAATGCCCTCACGGCACCAGGGCTCTTCTTTTGGCAGAACCTGAAAGGAGACAGAGGTCAGTGATGTCTAGATGCGTCAGCCTGGCCCACAGAAGGAAACGCCCCGAGTGCAGCAGTCGCCCGAGCTGGAAGGGCTCTGCCTCAGGGGAAGGCACCCTCAGCCCTCCGGCCCCACCCCAGATGCCCTTCCAATTCAGCTCTGGACTCTGGGCCCTAAAACCTCTAAAAACCAAGATAAGAGCCTACAGAGCAGGCAAAAACACAAAAAAAGCAGGGTGGGGAGAGGACCAATAAAGGATGAGTATAAAAGAGGAGGAAAAAGGGACAGGAAAGTAAAACTAAGAGGAGAGTGGAGATGAGAGGATTCAAACAGACTGGCGTCTTACTCCCGCCCCTGGGTCAATGCCTGGGCCCCGTGAGGGCACAGCCGGGAACACAAGATCTCCAACAGTTGGGCTGGATCTCCCCCTTCCTGTCCCTGCGTCACCAGCTGCTCTTGAAGAAGCGACTCTGCCTGGCGCACCAGATCTGCCACCAGCGTGGCCCTGCAGTAGGAACAGCAAGGTTTTGAGGTAGTTGGAAAGGGTGAATCAGAAAGGGGCTGCAACTTCAAGGAAACCTGGTCAGAACTAACTTGAAAGAACGTCAGCAATTTTAGCCTCCCCCGTCCCACCTGGCCCTTGTCCTCTATCACCCGCTCCCCCGCCGCCCCTCAGCTGACTTTCCTCAGTTTGGCAACAAGGTGTTATAAAGGGGAAAATTGTAAGGAAATGAGACTGGGGACCCTCAACACCTCCATTCCCAATCCCAACTCATCCTCACTTGATATGCTTGACACAGTTCGAGCCGATTCTCTCTGCCACGAACTCCACGGTCCTGCGCAGGGAGGGTGGCTGGTTGTGGAAAAAGGCTTGAGCCAGCTGTGCCTGTTGGGAGGAGGGGGCAGGGCAGTGAAGGGTCCGCTTTCCCTTCTCCACTGCGCGGGCCCCCCGCCTCCGCCCTGCCCCCTACCTGCAGCCCTTGGGTGGTCCGGGGAGGCTGGGCTCCCAGGCCGGTGGTGGTGGTGGTGGGGGTGATTTTCCTGACGAAGCCCCCACTCCGTCCACTGCTTCCTGATACCCAGGAGGCGAGCAGTTTGCGGAGCTCTCCTGCATCAGAGAAGCCCAAGTGTTTAAGTTCCAGAACCGTCCCACCCTCCCCAGCATCTTGACTTTTAAGCATTTAGGGAATAGAAAGACTGAGGCACCAGGGAGCGCCTAAGAACAGAACAATGTACTGGGGCGCTGCGCCCACAGGGTGCCTTTTGGGTACTCATGAAGGGACAGGCCAAGGACCAAAGACCCTCTGAGGGGAGACCAGTATCCTCACCAATATAGGGGCAGCAAGTGTAGAGCAGGTGCTGGTCCACCACAGGCATGCTGTCCTGGGGGAGAGAACAGGCCAGTGTTGGGAAGGCAGGCTTCCCTTCCTCCCCAGTGTGCCAGAAACATAAAAGTCTTATATAAAAGGCTTCAGTCTATTCTGGCTTGTCTCCTGCTGGGCCCTACCGGGCAGCCTGCCTCCTTTACTCTTGTGCTTCCCATGGCTCTGGCTTGACCCCAACACTCACCAAGCCATGCTCTGAAGCTACTGTGTCCACCTCAAAGGCATCCAACTGACCCTCTTCCAGAAAGAACAGGTCTTCAGGGACTGTAGGAATCTGGCAAGAGATTAGGGCAGTGCAAGTCAGCACTTCAGAGATTCGTCACACCTCCTACCTCATGGTTCCAGGGTTTAGACACCAGGTTCAAAGCCACCTTCCTCTGAAACTATGGCAATCCCTACCCCTCCTCCGAACCTTCACCTTCTGGCCCCACACCCTTGTTCAGACTCATACATCCTCCCTTTCCCTGTCTTCAGCCACAGTAGTCACCCCCTTCTCCAACCTGGACCCTCACTCCACCAACCTGGAAAAGCCAGCCCAGGACAGCCAGCAGCAGCAGCTTGTTCAGGAAACACATCTCCCCTTCACTCTCCTTTGACAAGACCAAGCTCCTAAAATGTAAATGAGGGTGTGAATGGAGTCTGTGCAAAGAGAGAAATGGAATACAGTAACAGAAAGCTATCACTGGCAAGGTACTTCTCAAAAACAGACCTAAAAGGGACTGCTGTTGTACAAGAAACCAGGTCTCATCACCCCACCCAGATCTGTACTCCCTTCTGAGCTGGGCCACAGTAGGAATAGAAAACGGCCAATCAAAGTGCAAATATTCAATAACTGCCCACTGTCTTTCCTTGTGGATCAAGGCCTGGCCTCTTCCCTGAGGGTCAGTTACGGCTACGGTACCACACAGGAAGCACAGGCTGCTTGACCCTCTTCATAAATGGCAGCCTCAGCAATGTTCTCCCCACACCCTTTTCTCAAGCCTGCTCTCTCTCTACTCACCGATGCAGGTGCAGCAGGAGAGTGAATATGCTGCGGTAATAGTCCAGCATGGGGACGATGTGGTCAGCCAGGGAAAGGAACTCCACCAGCCAGGGCACCGTGAGCACTGCTCGCCGGGCCCGCAGCCCCTGCTGCAGCAGAGCCCGCACATCCAGGACCGGGGGCACCTGGCAGGGCCAGTGTCAGTCAGTGGGTGGGTCAGTCCCAGGGGCTGGGGGAAGCCTTCTAACGCCATTGCCTTGAAGCTCCTCCCAGCTCCCTTCTTACCAGAGCCCCCAATCACCTGGCTCCTCAGGGCCAGAATGGTGTCCTGGAGCTCACGGGTCGGGGGTGGTTCGGGCCCCCGGTATGGCAGGAAAGCCACAAAGCCCAGGAATTTAGCCAGAAGCCTCAGGCTGAGCAGCACCACAGCAAACTGCCTCCGTTCACCCTGCAGGGCATCAAGAAGGAAAAGGTCCCAAGCATAAGGCTTCTAGAACAAAACCAAATCTGTGGGACTTCTCTGGTGGTCCAGTGGTTGAGACTTCGCCTTTCAATGCAGGGGGTGCAGGTTCGATCCCTGGTCAGGGAGCTAAGATCCCGCATGTCTCACAGCCAAAAAACCAAAACATAAAACACAAGCAATATTGTAACAAATTCAATATAGACTTCAGAAATGGTCCACATCAAAAAAAAATCTTAAAAAAAAAAAAAAAAAACAGATCTGTTACAGATTTCTTCTTGAAAATACCCTTTCCCCCCTAGGTCAGAACCCCATCATCTCCCTCTGCTTTCTAACCTGCCAGTCCACGTCTGATTCCCCGTCTTCATCACTGGGCTCAGGCTGAGGCAGGGCAAGGCTGTTGAGCTCCCGGATCTTCAAACTCAGGCTATCCATGAGATGCTGATTAAACTGGAAGCTATGAAGAGGAGGGGGAAATAAAGGTACTGGAAGAAGTGTTGGAAGGACCAGAATAGAGAAGAGGTACTCCAGATAGAAAGGCTCAGCAGGGTAGACAGAGGAGGCCAATGAGGTTATGGGTGAAAGAATGAGAAGGGAAATGGAGGCAGGAAGTGTGAATTAGAAGGAGCCCAGGCAACACCCAGTCCCACCCTGTTATATTCCAGACAAAGGAGAGAAAACGCTGCCCTTCTGTGAACACAAACCTCTTCTGGCCTCTGCCCCCACTCTCTGTAAGACAGGAGACCTTTACCTGCTGGCACTCAAGATGAAGTCCCTGAAGAAGCCCTGACAGCCTGGGAAGGTGGGGGGTGGGCAGGGACCCCCACTGCTCTGAGGGGCCACAAGCCGTTCCTGCAGGCGCCGCAACCGCCCCAGCTTGTCAGCTCCAAGCATATTTAACACATCTGGAGCCTCGCCCAAGACAGTGCCCCCAGCACCACCAGGACTCTGACACATCTGGGGCAGGGGGAGGAAGAGAGAAATCAAAAAACCAGTGAGTTTTTCTGGAAAGAAGGACTGAACAAAATGAGGAGGAAGTGATGAACCCTGTATCATGTGCCATAGATATGTTTTTTGAGGTCTGGATTATATTCTTATTTTTATAGGTGAAGAAACGGAACCTGTAAGATTCAACATCTGCCTAGGGTCACAAGAGCTAGGATTTGAAACCAGACCTGAGTCCTAACCCTGTGCTCTTTCTACCACAGCACAAATCAAGGGCAAGAAAGTAGCGAGGTGCTGAAGGAAGGCCAGGAGAGCCGGGTGTCTGAGGAGGCCTGGGGAGGCAGGAGGCGCAGGGCATGGGAGAGAGCGCTCCGCCTCCTCGAGCTGGCTTCCTGAGTTTCAACCACCACCCAAAGAACAGAACTCTTGTTCAATCTCCAGCCAAGGACCTGCCTGCTTGCCTGCCCTATCCCAAAGTGCCAGCCATTACTTGGCTGCCTATAATACATACTGTCCACTGTAGATTAATCAGTCTCCCGCTAGGGCTATTACCTGGAGAAGTTGTTTTTGGAAAAGTCGAACAAAATGGCTGTGGCTGCAGGCTGCAGAGAGTTGACTCATCATGGCTCTGAGGAATAAGAGGCAGGGATGGAGTGTGATGGAAGGAGGAAGAGGGAGAGAAAGATCTGAGAGAACAAGCCAACCCTTGGGCCTTTCAGCCCTTTACCAGGGGCTTGACCAGACCTCTGCCAGAGCTGGCTGGCACAAGGCTATGGGAAAAGGTAAGGGACACTCTCCTCAGCCCCAAGACCCCTCAAAGCTAGAGATACACTTAACCAAACATGAAATAATACCACCCCTCTCATCTTCAGTCTACACTGAATGCCAGTGAGCTTCATGACCAACGTGGACAAGAGAATATTCTTTCTGTATCCTAGTTATCTAGCTATGCAAAGTTATCCGTATTGTCAAATGAGATGATGAAGAAAATGGAGGTCGGAAAGGGTCTAAAACTTGGGCCAAAACTCAAGCAAACTGAAATAACAGCATTCCACTTTTTCAAGCATTTGCAATCACAGAGCAAGTATGAGTGATTTCTGAGTGGAAGGAGCTGGAGAAACAAATCGCTTTTTTTTTTTTTTTTTTTTTTTTTGCCGTACACGGGCCTCTCACTGTTGTGGCCTCTCCCGTTGCAGAGCACAGGCTCCGGACGCGCAGGCTCAGCGGCCATGGCTCACGGGCCCAGCCGCTCCACGGCATGTGGGATCTTCCCGGACCGGGGCACGAACCCGTGTCCCCTGCATCAGCAGGCGGACTCTCAACCACTGCGCCACCAGGGAAGCCCGACAAATCGCTTTTGAGTAGAGGCAGAGATGGCAGTAACTGAAGAGATTAAGGAGGATAGAAGAAAACAGCTTTGCCCTGGAAGGACAAAGCCTTCCTTCAATCAGCTACCCAAGCACCACTAAGCTGCTCACTACTGGAAGCAAGAAAGACAAGGTGACCGGTGTATGAGCACATACCTGATCCTGCTGCCCAAGCCCTTCTCAAAATCCCAGCCAGGCTCTTCATGGCGATCTTCCCACTCTCGAAGCACCTCATAAAACACATCCCTGACAGACACATAAGAATGTCCGATCAACTGAAGCACAGCTGGCCTAACTCATTCTCAGGAGTGCCTTCCCTAGCTCAGAAGAACTGAGGACAGGACTATCCACAGCCCCGTTCCTTATCCTCTCCAGGGTTTTCTATGTGATAATGCTACAGACCCGGTAGCAGTACACCACATGCTTCACATACTTCTGTGGGCAGTTAAAGTTGATATGGCACTCTCGTCTGAGAATCCAGTGACTAGAGTCATACACCTGCGAGAAGGCTGCTAAGGTAAGAGGTTCAAGTCCATGGGCATGAACAGAATGAGGCTAAGTGGCCCTTATGATGTTTGCCAGGAAGGGCCTGGTAGTGCTAAACTACCACCTGTTAGTGTCAAACTCCTAGTTTCTATGAAAATGACACAGACTGCCTATCCCAGAGAAAATCCTGCTTCACCCCCTTCCCCCAAAGTTCCCTTTTCTTATCACCTCTGTTTTTTAAAAGTATGAAAGGCTCGATCACTGGAGAAGTTGGCACGATTGTCAGTTTCTGGCTGAAAGGAGACAGCTTGTGCAGAAGGTGGCATCGCCAGAGAGACCTAAAACATGGCAGTGACAATTAGGGACTGAAGCTGGCAGAGTTCATGCTCAGAAAACTTCATCCCCATTCCAGTGCAAATGACACTACAGTGATGTGAGCTGGGCTGCCTGAGTTATGAGACCAGAAAGGGTCAGGTCCAGGCTAGTAGATGTCTAAGATGGGGTCACTACCTTGGCAACACTGCCCTCATAGGCAGCTCGCAGGTGGCCTTGCAGAACTGGTGAGAAGCACAGTAGCCGTTCATTCTCAGCCAACAGCTTCAAGGTCCCTTTGTCCAGGTGGGAAAGAACGCTACAGGGACAAGAGCACAAATGACCAAGAATGGGACAGACTGAAAATAGGAAGCTGGCACCTGCACACCACACAGCGTGTTACCTGGAGCATGGAGCAGGTACATGAAGAAAAGTCATGGGCAAAGGATTAAAGATGGAGGCAAAGGGGAAGGAAATAAGAGAGACCTAATGGAGCAGCGAACAAGAGAGCAGGGCAGAAACATTAGATAAACCCAAAGGTCAGCTACCAAGACCACCGGGGGCAGTTTGATTCTTTCAAGGGCTAAATTCATAGCCTTGACACAAAATTGAAGGTTACGTGGAGGAAAAGGTCCAGGGTCACACTACACCTGTGTTAAGCACAAGCATGCACCCCAAGTAACAAGAGAACCAAGTGGACAATGGGAATAAGGCTCAAATGCCTCTGCTGGGGAAACTCACTGAAACTGATGCTCCAAAACCTGCACTGCAAAGAAGACACAATCATGGACACTCTGGAACAGAGGGCTTTCCAGGGAATCTAGAAGGACAGTACCAAGTTGTTGGCTAAGAATGATTTCATTTCCAGACCACATTTCTCAAAAAGAGGCTTGTTCACCAACCTACGGCTCCTGGATTTGGTTCAAGGTCACTGTCCTTGGCAGCCACCATCCTCCGGGCGGTAAGGAGCTGAAGGACGAAGAAAAGCTCCAAGAAGAGGTTTGGTACCAGGTTTTCTAGATAAGAAAAGAAACTCCAGGGTATTGAACATCATTCAGAACCAAGGCTCAGTCCTACATGCTTTATCAATTCTTTTAACCTGTGGTTCTACAGGTATCTCCATTGCAGGGCCTTTTGCTCTCACTCACCTGCAATGCATGAAGAGTAGACAAGGGCTACCAGCTCCAGACGCTCACGGGAGGATACTCTGGCAGGGTCAGCGGGTTCAGCTGTGAGGTTTCCTGTTCGGCTGGGGTGAGGACATCCTGATTCTGGGGTGGGACAGGCGGGAGCAGGTGACTGCTGCAGCAGCTTAGAGCTATGGGGAAAGGAATGTCGTGTATAGTCAGCCCGCCTTCCCCTCCACAGCTATACTCAGGTTCCTCAAAGAGACATCCACAGACCAGGAAACAGACCCAGGGTTCCCAGGGGACAAATCAATCACAGAGAAAAGCCCTGCCAATCCCCCACAGAGGCAGCTGACATCCCAGGGAGCAGCAAGGCCATACCGCTCCTTCCTGAGCATCTCCCGCTCCTCTTGCAGACTTCTGCACCCTGGGGAAAGGCTATGGCCCCAAGGGCTAGTGTCCAGGACTGAGGGTTGGGAACTGGGGACAGAGTTGATTGGGGGTGAGGTGAAGCAAGTCTTGGGCTTGGAGAGTGACCGCTCTTCGCTCACCGGAGTTGGGTTGATCCTGCGTGAAGGCTTGGTCCTGCTGAGGAGTAGCCACAGGTTTTTCTGATATTCCTTTCTTCAATCATCTCCCCCTCCACCACCACCTCCACCACAACAGCCTGCACCCCCTGCAAAATGCCCCTCACCACTATAGTGATCTCATCCCCAACCTTCTAGCCATTACCATGCTTTACTACAGAGCACCCAGCCTTAGTTTATTAACTCCCCTAGTAGAGCCTTCGTGCCACCCATCTCCCGGTTAAGGGCTGATTCTCACCCTGCAGAGTCGGGGGGAACCGAGCCTACGGGAGGGAATTCCTCCAGGTTGCTGAGGTTTGGCGGATCAGAGCGCGCGAGGCTGGGGCTGCCGGGGCTGCCAGAGCTCTTGGGCCTCCGGCCCCCGGCCCAGGGCAGGCTCTCCCCGCTGACCCCCTCCTCCAGGGCCCCGGGGCCGCGGCCTCCTCGCTCACGGGCCGGCCCCGGGCCCCGCCTCCTGCCCCCACGGCGGGCCGAAGGGGCCTCAGCGGCGGTGGGGCTCGAAGGCTCGGTCGGAGGGAAGAGCTGGCTGCGCGCCCCGCGGCCGCCCCGCGGCGGGCCCCCGGGTCTCCCTGGCAAGGCTGCCGAGGAGCCCGAGGCCTTGGCGGGGGTTGGGGGGCCCTGCGGGAGGACGCGGCTGCTCTGTTCCCTCAGGAAGTTCAGCAGGAATGGCACGAATTCCTTCCGCAGCGGCCGAAGTGAGATCAGCGCGGCCGCCTCCCCGGGGTCATCCTGAGGGAGAAGCAGCGAAGGGCGAGAGGGTCAGCTGCCAGCCCGGGGCCGCAAGCAGCCGGGGCCGCAGGGCGCGCTGAGGGGTGGGCGGCCGGGGGTAGCGGCCCCTAGCTGGAGCGCACTCGGCCCGGGCTGACAGCCAGGCACCCTAGAGGAAGAGAACGAGAGGGGTGGTATCTCCCGCGGGAAGGAGATTCGGGCCAGCCTGGGGGCGTGTCGGCGCTGTTACCTCCGAACTCTGGGCGCTGCGCGCGATCCACCGCACAGCGGCTGCGACCGACAGCTCCTCTCGCAGCAACGACTCCAAAACGGCCGCCATCCCGGTCCAGGCGCTCGGAGGCGATTGCGCAGGCGCAGGCGCCGGCGCGCCACAGGCGCCCGGGGGGCGGGGCGACCGTTGGGCCGCGGGGTGTAGAGGGCGGGACCAGGGCGGTGGGGCGGGACCAGGGCGGGACCGAGACCGAGACCTGGGCCGGCGGCAGCGGCGCTTCAGCAGGCTGAGGCTCCGCCCAGGCTTTGGCTCAAGGCCGCGGATGGGTCCGCGGTTCCCGACAAGAGGTACGGTGGTTCCCCAAGTGCAGCGCACCACTATTGGTGAGGCCCGGCCCCGGCAGCTCTGGCCCGAAGGCGACCTGCCGGGACTCGGGGACGCGGCGGGGGAAACCAAGGGCCCGGGAGAGCGGCCGGACGGTAAAGGTGAACGATTCTCCAGAGAAGATGCCTATATTTTCTACGATAAGCACATTCTTTTCTTTCAAGAGTCTTTCTAGGTTCAGTCGTCACCACCCTAAAGAAGTTAGGCAAGGTCAAAATGAAGTTAAGCTAACTTTATCCTTTCTCAAAAGCTGAGTCTCCTGCCCATGCGGTACCAATGGTTTTCCCCACTCACCATCAACTGATCATTTAAGACTTTAAGACAGAATTCTTGCAGGGGGGCTTTTTAGGATCCTCAGCCCACAACCCTTAAAGTGCCTCCGCCCATCCTGCACATAGAATAGCCTAGTCTGTATCCCTTATACATTACACAAGGTTAATATGTGAGCTACTTTGCAGTTGAGAAGTTAACAGGCATATACATAATTAGCTTCTGGGAGCTTGAGTTATTTCTTAATTTCTCTTATTTCGAAAAACATCAGTCACCTCTTTGGATGTTGCTGCTCACTGAGAAATCAAGACAGGGAACCAGGCAGAGAAAAACAAATGGCACTAACATTCCAGGCCAGACCAAATCAGGAAGGGTGAAGCAGTGCCCATGTGAATGCCTCCTGAGAGTTCCCCTGGTTCAAAGGAAGGTGGAAAGGAGAGAATGGTGGGAAGCACAAATCACTCCAGTGCTACAGGGACATTTCCTACAGAGAAGGAAAAAGAACCCCTGGTTTTTATCTGCAGGGATTGTGAACGCCTAGTTTCTATTCAGTCCAGTGTTTCTTTTTCTAGGTCACTTCTGGATGCGGTACTGCATTTATAGAACACTTTCTACTCCCTGTTGATCTTGTAACCTCTGGTGCATTCAATAACTTTATCAGAAAAATAATATTTCCCACCTTTGAAATCCAAACCACTACACAAACAGAACTAGAGTTTGCATGCGGAATGAATATTTTATTACTAGATTATAAAAATAAAATACAAAATAATTTTAAAACAGAACTTAAAACACTGTACAAAGCTTTAATATGATACAAATGGGAAAATTAAATAAATAATTACACTTTTATGTACAGATGGCCTATACAAAAGCACTCCATGTTTCTGCCAATACTCTATGTCCTTGGTTGCCTGAGCAAAAATGCATAAAGAGGGCTGCTTGGAAGGGAAATGGATACAATACCTTTGAAGGTATTTCAAAGAGCAATTCTCATCACTCTGATTTCATTAAGAGGAGAAGAAAGGGAGAAAACTATGAAATTGTTAAATTACTCTAACTTACTGGTCTTGCTCGACAAGAGAGAATTCTTCTGGTTTGTGATTCCATCTGATTTAAGAGCTGCCAATAGTTCAGAACTTTCAAGAATTATATCTAATTCAAAACTAGGTGTTTCCCAACTCCCTCTTTTTTCCTAAAAGCTGTGAACTTGTATGTAAATGGCCCAGTGAAATTCAGCACTTGGTTATTTTAGGAAAGGAGTCAGAAGGGGGGGGGGACCACGAACTGTGCATGAGAAATGAGGGAGCTCAAGCCTGGGTCATCTGTTATTTTCTTTACTCAGTTCATCCAATCCAATTTCAGAGCCCCAAGTGGCACAGTGTTACATTTTCTTTAGCTTCCTATCTTTGTATCTCTGAATGCTTTTTACCTTAGTGAACTAACTTACCTAACTGGTGAATAGTTTAAAAAGAAAAAAATCCCAAGGGCTTCCCCTTCCCTGGTTTGATCCCTAAAATAAATCACATTCAAGCTCTGGTAGGTTTGTTTATCCCTTGTGGATGAGGGAAGAACACCCAGACAGACCCCAGGTATGGTGAAGTGCCATGCATGAATTTTTAAGGATTTAAACTGTATATTTTAAGAGGGAAAAAAAAGCAACATATGGCAATGGTAGTCTATATAAAAATTTGGTCTACCTAGTGTTTTTAACAGGGTGAGTGAACACTTATGTACACAATATGAGACAATATTAAACTACTGAAAAGACAGATAAAATTTCCTATCGTTAGTGTGTAAAATTATATCATCAGCAAATTCTATAGTCACGTGGGCTCAAAGGTCTGCCTCACTGAATCCTATTCTCTAGGTCAAGGAACCCAGAACCCCTGGCCCAGGGTATCTGAGAGATATGTCAGTATCATCAGTGATACATACTGTGCCCGTATCTGTCACTTCAATTAAAGAGGCAGATCTTGTTAAAGTTCCACAGGGCAATGAAGAAAAAGGCTTCACATCCTTTACATGTCTCCTTAAGACCAAGGATCCAGCAAAATCTTAGGAAATATTCAAATCATTACTGAGTAAAGGTTTCGGCTTGGCTATTCAGTGTCTTGAGATTGTGTATCACATCAAGCAATTTTCCAAACTTGCTTAAGGGGAGTAAACATCAAGCTTATGTTTTAAAAGTTGGAGCAGGTATTCACAACTGAATTAGAAAATGTACTTGATGGGTCAAGACTTTAATATCATCACTTCATGTCCAGCCAGGGATTTGAGATGTGCAGCATCCAATTCTCCTTAAAATGAATAGGGAGATCCTTGTCCCATGTCCTGGAGTTACCTAAGAACTATAGGAATTCCCCATTTATCTCCTGCAGTTCTCCCTAGCAATGTTGGCAACAGATTCTGCAGGCTCCTGAGTCTAACTGGCTTAAATTTCTCATATTTCCAGAGGGACAGCCAAACTCTTGAGAATATCCAATGATATGTTTCCACACTACTCCCACATCCTTGAAGTATATACCAGAGTTCTATTGGATGAGGACAGGGAAGTGGGATGTCCTAACCACCACCTGGGGTTTTCAATGTACTACATCTTTCCATATGGTCTGAGGACTGGAACTGCCTCTGGTTCCCTTCTCTACGTTAAGGTCTAAATATGCACCTGTGATTTCTGAACTTGGGTAAATATTGACATGTGAAGACTACCATAGTGGTTACATGCCTTAATCCATGCCATAATACTTTTTATATTAGAACACAGATAAATAACTATTCTGCAAATAAACTGTCTACAGAACCAAACTCAAAACTATACAGTTGTCACCAACCGTTCTATCTCCTCAGTGATACAGGTGCTGAAATATCTCTCCCTTTAGGCAAAGTCCCAACACATCTGTGGTAAATACGTATAAACAGAAATGGGCAGATTTTAAAACAATGAATGCAAATAACTTAATTCCAAAACACATGAACATGACAGAAGAAATGGTTCCCTAACATATGCCACGTTTTGATAGATATCAAGGAATGAAAAGTTTTAAAATGTGAAAAATTTGATTTTCAAGACTAAATCTAGACTTATCTACAAATAAATGTATTTTCAAATAGCCAGAGTAAGATGCATTTTTTGCCCTAAGACACTAAATTCTGAATTCTGGATCCTGTTTCTCCTATCACCAATTCCTAATGTTAGATTAAGAATGTAGTTCCTAGAACAAAGAATCCTCTGCTCTTCAGGGAACAAGCATAATGATTTTAATTCAAAGCTACTGGATATAGAAAAACTAGTTATCGTTTTAACTGTCTGTGTCTGGGTTTATAAAACATGCACCAACACTTTTCCTTGTCAATTGAATATAACCATACAAACATTCACATGAAAATCTGTGGCCTGGAAGGAATCTCTGATGATTACAGAAGAACTTCAAATTCCCATAGTGGCTAAGAGCGAAACAGATACTGCACCCTAGTCCGCTGGATTAGTGAGCAGCTGAGATTTGTTAAGTATTTAAAGCAATCAATATAGAGTAGATAATGACAACAGTGGGTCTCAATTACCATTTTGCCACTAATTTAGGACTTGATTAACTTGTTAACTCAGGAAAACCCCCCAAAAACAAAAAAGCATTCACTCCACAACATGCAACTTGAAAAACAGTAACTATGCCACTGTCAGCAAGGCTAGCTTGCACACCAAGTTGAGAATAAGAGTGCCTACTTAAGACTTAACATTCGAAAATGTTTATAATCTGTGCTTTAAAGTTAAATTTGATATGACCCAATTTTCATTCTTTGTTCACTACACATTAAAGTTAAATGCCTTTAAGCTGTGCAAAAGACTGCTATGTGGAATTTTAACATTTCAAACAATCTACACCCTGGAGATTTGGCAGCATAATTTAGGAATAATGCTACCTAAAGGGACTGAACTGTTGCCAATTCCATCTTCCGCTCCACCCAAGTAACTCCAAAGACTAGACAAGGGAGGGTAAGGGCAAGTGTGACTAGGTAACTAGCCATTTTGTTGTGAAAGGAGAAACTAGGAGGCACCTGGTTTTCAAAAGATAATTTTAACTTCTGCCCCATACTACTCTTAATATAGTTTGGCTTGACTTTAATTGACGGCCATGTCCCTCACCTTAGGTAGAATAACCAAACTGGTTTAAAATCAGTTGGATGATCTATGTTTGTCACTGAAATCTGAAATATGCCATCACTAAAAAAGTTAAAAATAAATAAAAAAGAACTAACAACAACAAAACCCAACTCATTTTCTGTATCAGACTCTAAAATAAAACAAAAACAAAAATCCTTGTGCCAAAAGTGCTTTGCTCAGGGCTGCCAACATCTCTTTTTAGCCCAAGACATCTAAAATCTAAAAAAACAAACTGCTTTTAAAAACCATAGAGTAAATCTCTATACAAGATAGTCCTCTTAAGTGTATCTATTAATACATGAGATATAATTAATCTGTCTTCTTTTGA